GTGACTCATTTTTTATTTGCATTATGACATGAGCCAATTTAAAACTTCATAAATACCCATTTTATGTAGAAATAATCTTATGCTCAGCGACACAACTGGACCAACGGCCTAAAGCAGCTAAAGTGTCCGATTAAAAGCTTCTGGTTTCAGGAATGTCTAAAAGGTAAAACTGGGAGGAACAAGTGGAATGCCTGAACCCGGACAGAACATGGCGAATGTTTCATACGAACGGGAGCAGCGCTTGACGGCGACTCCAGTCCGGCCGTGACATGCAAGACAAAGAAGAAGAAGAAACAATGAAAAGATGGAGGGAACAGAGTGAGAGATGCACGCTCCCCAGGAGGTGGAGAATGGAGAGGAGGGAGGGACTAGTGGTGATGGAGAGACCCTAGGAAGGGAAGGTGGATGGATGGAGGGAGGGAGGAAGGGGAGGTGGAGAGGAGGAGGAGGAGGAGGAAGGGGGAGGGGAGGGGGGCTTGACGATAAGAGAAAAATTCAGACCGGTCAAAGTTTCCTTTTTGCCAATCGTGCTCCTGATAAAGACAGCGCCTGCTCCGGAGCTGATAGAGGGGCTATCTCTCTCCCTTACTCTCTCACCCAACCCCTCCTCCTCACCCCCTCCCTCCCCCGTCTTACTCACCCGGCAGTTAGTTTGTGAGGAGGAGAGGAAGAGAGAAAAAAAAAGAAGAAAGAAAGAAAGAAGGGCCGTATCAGTGCAGCATCATGGCGCTACCATCAACCAGCCACCACGCTGCAATTAATATCGCTCCAATTACTGTTAAAGGGACGAGGCTGGGACAGGACGATAATGAACACATCCTCTCTTCCCCCAGCAGAGGAATTAAAACGCACGCACAAACACACCCGTAAACACACACTCGGCACTACATGCACAAACGTACATAAAACGTGTGCAGCTTGAAAAGGAAATAATGCGAGATAGTGTGGTAATCTCCTTGCATTGTTTAACTCATTGAAGACAACGGACAGAGAGAAATAAATAACCAAACAAACCTCGATAAGAGGGGAAATAAATAATAAAATTATGGCGATTTACTTGTTATCTTCTCTTAGCCGTGTGTGTGTGTTTTTGTTACGACTTGAATAAATTTTCCCCCGGCCTGTCACATCCACATCTCCCCTGCAGAACAACACAATGGACCCTGAAAGAGCCTTGCGACAAGTGACTAAAGAACGTCTGAACGCATACAGAGTTTGGCCGATCCACTCGTGAACACGTGAAGAGCTCAAATGATGGTTAGTTGGTTGGAGTTTCTCAGTATGACGTTGGAGGTCACCGGGACTGGCCAATCAAAGCAGCCGTGCTTTTAAAGCCAACTTTAAGCTTTAGAAAATAAAAGAATTCACCGACTGCACAGCTGAAATGTCCATAAAGACCAAACCAGAGTGTTTTTGCACCACGCTGTAATATCTTATTATAATATCTGCCCACAAACTCCTCCTGCACCATCAGCAGCAGCCAAACTGGGCTCACAGGTACAGCTTAGGCCCTGAATCAGATATTATGACATCATCATGTTGTCCACCTACCAACAGGCAGAAACGACCACACCTCTATGTGCCCTGCCCTATTAGAAAGCCATCAAATTACATTCATTTTGATCTCTATGAAACTCTTTCTGCAGCGACGATCACTTCATCTGTCTAACCTTACCAGCACTGACAAACGGGGACGCTTGTGGTGTCGCAGCTTTTTAAAAAAGTCCACAACAACTTCGGATTTCCTCACTTTAGCGTCGCAGACGTAATGTTGCTGTCAATCGATGGAATAAAAAACACCCCAGACTAATTTTGAACCAACTAAAAACAACTACAGACTAGGGATGG